ATTAATGATTCACGATAATACAAAATCCTATTCAAATTTTGTCTATTCTTTGTTATTTCCGTACTCCTTCATTGATATAGATGAATCATATGTTGACTAATTAAGAAAAAAACTAATGAAAAAAAAAAATTTTGATTTGTGTTTTTGAATAACTTTTATTTATTACACAAATTCTGCATTCATATTTGTTTCTTTATTAAGTCGTTCGAAAGAAGTTTTTTAGAAAAAGAAATCAAGGAAAGTAAGTAGTCCTTTAAGGAAGAATCAAAAGAGTATGATGGAAAAAAAATACAATAGAATTAACAATAATGAAAAAACAGAAGCAAGACAAAAAAGAAAAACATGTATAAAACTAAAAATATCTTGAGAAATTCTTAAAACTATAAAATGTTTGTTTTTCTGTTAAGTATTGCCATCGAATCAATTGATTTAACGCTTGATGTTCATGGACTAATTCTTTTCAGATTCTTGATTTTATTAATCGATCAGACACGATGCTTTTTGACAGGAAAAAACAAATGTTTGTTGCCTGATCTTTAAGACAAGTGTCATGTGATGTTTATAGATATGAACACTTGAAAGTTATGTATTCCTTTGTACACGACGACAGTTAATAGTTATTGCTCTCAATCTAATGAACGAAAGATATTTCATTCATATGTTGACTAGAAAAAATACTTCTTTGGGCTCATTATTGATTCAAATTGTAGTTTATCGTAAAGAGTTTCTGAATACAACATTATCGAACTAAATGACAGCTAGGACTGACAAATCATTGCTGATTCTAGGTAATGAATATGAAGAAGAATATGTTTAACTTAAATGAATTATTTCTATTATTTATTTTGTTTTTCTTCTTGATGAACACTTCAAATTTATGGCACAACTATGAAATTACTTTCTTTACTTTTATTATTATTGTAAATGTTTTTTTTTCGGCATTTTATTTTTCATCAAAAGTTGCATGAAATTATATGCATTATTATTGTGTTTTTTTTCTCTATATTTTGTTAAAAATTTCGAATGAAAATAAAACAGCAACAAAAAGGAAGTAGTAATCCTCGTTAAAGTATTGCAAAGGCTATATCTAAATTGCAAGAATTTTAAGAAGACAAGTATCTTACCTGACAAAACAATTATAACTTCATCAAGCAAGATTCAGCCTACATGATTCTTGTCAACAAGTCAAGGTTTGTTTTCTTCAGACAATAAATCATTTGTTGAAGTAAATGTAAAATGACAGATTATTGTACCTATTTATAACGGAGTAATTTTGAAGATCAAAATCTATTGCTTGTACTATGTATGAGAATCTATAGGAAAGCTACCATGAACTACTGTATCAATTTTCCAATAAATTAAATTGATAAAATTCAATAGAAAAGCGGTGGAGATAAATGATATTCGTGCAGTCTCTTTGATAAACTTTCTCAAAACGTTAATGAAGTTTTCTTTCATGTGTTAAGGTAGAACTATACTCAATGATAGACATGCAAAACTTATGCAAACAAGAGTAGCAAAAAATAAATCAAAGAAATAGTTATTATTACGAGATCTAATTGTTTGAGATGATCAAGATATTAAACGAAGCACTTCTGTGACTTATTCTCTCATGAAACATATTTTAATCGATTGAATTAGGCCAATGAGTAACTCTCCTGGAAAACTAGCGGATATTTGTTCAAAAGAAAAAATTTAAGATGCATCAAGAGAAAAATTACGCAAATGAAAATTCAAGAATATTGAATAATTATAAAAAGATTAAATTAAAAAGGAACGTAGAAAATTCATTGTTTTATATCAATGACTGATAAATAAAATACTAGTACAATTAATATTAGTAATCAATCTGGATAGTAGTCGAAAGTTAACGAACACTAATTGGTTACCATACGGATCTTTTTATTTCGAAAAGTTATAGTTTCTTAAACATAATTGCCAATATGATAGGGAAATATGAAAAAGAATAATATCTGATATTTTGTAGCCATTTCCGACGTTTACAATGATCGTCTTGAGTATTTTTTTTTTGTCTAGTCAATTCATTATTGCCTATTATATTTTTGCAAATCAACCCGAATTTTAAGAGACTCTACTCGATCTGTCATGTATCTGATTGGTATAATTATATTACACTACTGTATGAGCAGTCATATAGACTTTCCTGAATTGTAATTATTGATATATCATCTAGTAGTTTGAAACACATTTTATCTTGTTCGACAACAATGAATTATCTTTTTTTTTTTCACAAAACAAACAAAAGAAAAACTTAAATATAGATGAAATACAATACATAAGAAAAACAATTTACACAACAACTTCATACACAAGTTTTTTTCCATTTTGAGATTTACTCAATGTTGATATGTCACTTTCTTCTTCTGATGATATTCGTCCATTAATTGAAATATTCATATGATTATCTCTTCCTGTTCCTATTGTGTATGTTGATATATTAGATAAAAGAATTTTATTTATTGATCTTCTTCCATTAACAAGATATTGTCCATCAGAACGATCATAAGAATCC